CTGCTACCTAGGGTGGCGGCATCTTCTCCGGGGAGACAATGCTCCAAGTCTGTCGGACCTCACTATGTTCTATTCTCGTCTTTGTCAACTGCGAAGACTCTTGTTGAATGTTCTGCTGGAGCTTGGCCTCAAATTGAATTGGTAACCTCTGCGCTTATCGAATGAGTCTCCACGTCGGTCCTTCCACGCCCGTTCCATGTGGATCTGACATCTGTGTCTCTCGAGGTCAATCTTGGATTCGCACTGTCCACACTCAGAATGGACAGCGATTAGCGCCTGCGGAGTGGTTAAGCGCTGGCCCCAGTTCTTGTCAACCATTCAAGTCATCAAGTGCTCTATTTTGCTTTATTTCCTATGCGCATTGGTCGGAGGTATGTAGCAGGTTATTCACAGGTCGGTCCCCCACTCCCGTTTCGAATTTCTTTTTGATTTTCTTCAATTTGACGCCTGCACAGCTTCCGTGCGCGGAATCAGATGGCTTATCGGAGGCAGCGCAAGTACCGTACTGCAACAGCTTTCGCCGGTTTGACAGCAAAGACAAAGTACAGCCGCACGTCGTATTAGGATATAAGATCTGAGTCATTCCCACGCCGGCATTATATACACCTCCGGGCGCCTGTGCACAACTTGCGACATACCTCCACATCGATTGGAGGTTCGGGCTATGAACGCACCCTGGGCTAATCCATGGCAGCAGCCCGCCTACTATCAGCAGCCGCACCCCAACGCCTTTGGCCCCCCGCCCCCGGGGTTCCCGGGGTACTGGGGGCAGCCTCAAGCTGGATGGGCGCCTGTTAACAATAACGGTGCGCGCAGCAAGCCCCCCCCAATCCCGACCGCTGACGTGTCGTCTTTACAGGGTACCAGTCCGCCAAGTATCCGAACCTGAACCCGATCCTCGCGTCGGACTCGACGCAGGTGCGCTATGATGTGCGGAAGAAGGCGCGCAACGAGATCGCGCCGGCGACATACATGCCCGTCCGCCACCTGTTCGCGACAGCGAGCTCGGCGACGCACGTCCGCCTCATCTCGAAGTCGTTCCCGTGGTCGATCGACGTGATGTCGAACACGCCCGTAACCTGCGAGGCCGTGTGGGATGCGCTCTACGCAGCTGTGAGTGCTTCTTTCATCTCTTTTTGGGACCGCCATCTAAGGAAACACTCCAGCTCCAGCAGCACATCGCCGATTCGGAGTGGGGCATCGTCGTCGGCGACAAGAAGTTGCGCGAGACGATTGAGAAGGCGGCGAAGAAGCGTGTCGATTCAGACCCCGATGCGCGGCTGAAGCGCATCGATTGGCTTGGGGGGAATACCATCTTCAAAGGGCTGGACAGGATGGAGGAGTTCCAGGACCAGCGACTGCTGCCTGGCTCGGAGCCTTGCACCGAGACATGGGTCGTCAAGCTTGGTTCTTGAATATGGCGAGGTTCGTGTAATTGTACCGTGTACTTGTCTTTTTTTCCGCTCAAATATGAGCCTGGACATTCTACTCAACTTTCTGGCGCGAAACGGGAAAATGAGGTCTTGTTATGATCGGTGATTTTCCGGGTTGCAAGCCACACAAGACCAAATCTTCTTCACTCTTTTTTCTCCAGCCGCTTAAGCGAACCAATTCTGTCTTCATCATGGTTTCATTCCAGTCAGTTTTCCGCCACAGGATCCCGGTCTACATCTTACGCCTATTGCAGATGCCATGCGTGCCAGGATACTGTGAAAAAGCCGAAGCTCGACCAACACTATAACCGCTGCTACTCGGGCTTCGACTGCATCGACTGCTCCACCACCTTCAACAGCCCGGCGGAATACAAGGGCCACACCCAGTGCGTCAGCGAGGCTGAAAAATACGAGAAGAGCGTGTACAAGGGCGCGAAAACTGTATGTCCCCTCATTTTCCGCGCGGCGAAGTAGCTTGATGTAGCATTCAAGTCAGCTACGCCAAAAAGCAGCTACCCCCCGCGACCGGCCGCCCCGGCGGACACCGCGGTGCGGAATTGGACTGCGGGAGGGCGCGGCGGTGGGCGTGGAGGCGGCTGGGGCTCGGTCCGCACGTCGGCGACTGGCGCCAATGAGACGCCGTTAGGGACACCCACACGAACCTCGCCCCCGGCCCCGGTGGTGGCCCCCGCAAAGGTGGCCGTTGAGGCCCCCAAAAAAGCTGCTGCGCCAGCACCTGCTCCTCCGACCGAAAAGAAGGAGAAGAAGGAGAAAAAAGAGAAAAAAGAGAAGAAGGAGAAAAAGGAGAAGCCAAAGGCCGAGCCAACCGTAAGGTTGTTCAATCTCTGCGTCGACAGTTCACTCAATGCGATGTTAGGCTTCTGCATCGACCGCCGATCCGAATGCTCCCCCGAAGGATCCCAATGCGAAGACGCGGAAGGAGCTGCGCCGCGAGGCAGCTGAGCTCCAAAAAGCCCAAAAACACGCCCAAAAGCTCGCCAGCGTGAGTGGTGCCGCCCCCGCGCCCGAGCTGACACCGGACGACTCGGCTGCAACACCGAAGAAGCGGAAACGTGACAACGCCGACGAAACCATGGACGTCGACGCACCAGCAATAACTGAAACGGAGCCGGTCGAGAAGAAACGCAAGAAGGACAGGAAAGCGAAAGCTGCGGCGACTGAAGAATCTGCCGGGGCTTCCGAGCCCATGGACGTCGACGCGGTGCTGTCAGCCCCGGAGAAGAAGCGGAAGAAGGACAAGAAGGGCGGGGATGGGGATGCCAAAGCGATGGATATCGATGTAGCCCCGTCGATACCCGTCGCTGAGCCCACGGAAAAGACGCGGAAGAAAGACAAGAAGGGGAAGGGCGACGTGGAGCCGACCGAACCCCCGATATCGGACGCTGCGCCTGCAGAGAAGAAGCGGAAAGATAAGAAGGAGAAAAAGTCCAAGTCGTCGACAGAGGTTGCTACTTGATCTCTTTCTTGTCTTATTCTCGATTCTCGATTTTCTATCATTTTTGCTCTGGGTGAAAAGCAGCGACAACGTGTTTCTAAGTAAATCAGTCTCGTACAGATACATTTGCTCTGGGTATAATCCACGCCCCTGCGCGCTCAGAACGACGCCGTCGAGTCGACCTCGATGGTGGGCACGATGGACGCGATGAACTTGAGGAACACAACGAGGTAAAAGTCGACGCGCATGCCCTCGACTTCTTCGTCGTCGGGGGTCTTGTCCTCCTTCCCGCTGTTGCTCGCTTTGCGGCCAAACCACTTCTTCTTACTGCCATCCTTGGAAGTCGGCGACTTGCGCTGGGCAAGCTGTTCCTCGACCACACTGTTGTTCATGCGCTCGATCACCTTCTTCATGACGCTCGCGTGTTTGCAGGGGTGGACCGATGCAGCCTGCAGCGACGCGGAGTGCGGGAACGCTTCAATCGTGACGGTCTTGAGCGCGTGGTCGGCCGATATGTCTTGGAAGATTTGTGAGGGAGTCAAAGGGGTGCGATTCTTGACGAGCAAGTTAGGGAACCAGCGGAAGAATGCAGGATAGCGAATCTGACCTCATCGTAGCCAATCAGCCAGATGCGCGGAGTCTGGTAGTACTTGTCGTAAGTTATCATGACGTCGTACGTTCGCACTTGGAGCAGATTGCCGTTGGCCACTTCTATTTGACTGCAGGGTACGAATCAGACAATGTATACGGAAAGGATAGGATAACAGACCTAGCGTCAATGACGCCAGGCGTCACCTTGGGCGCAGCAGTCGCCTCGTCCTCCTCCTCCTCTAGACCGTCTTCCTCCATATCAGGGATATCGTCTAGATCGGGGGTCTCAGCAGCACCACCACCGCCGAGGGAGAGCGCGCTGACCCCCTGCGCGATGGAGTCCTCGGGTGCGGCGTCCAGGTCGGGAATATCGTCGATGTGGCCCGGATTGGCAGAATCGAGGTTCGCCTTGCGGCCCGCATGGGTTTCAACCCACTCATCAACCCCGGTAGCGTCGCCACCGAAGGATAGTAGGCGTTCCGCGTCCTCGTCAGCGTCCGTGTACGCAAGCGAAGTTGCGCGGCGGAGACAGGGAACCCCTCGCGTAAGAAGGTATTGCTTGTCCGCTGGGAGGTAATCCTTGCCCTTGGACGGGTCGCCCTTTTCCCTGGTGCACAGATCGTTTGAGTGGCTTGCGCCTCGTGCCAATGTGCCACTGACCAACTCCACACGCCGAACTTGTAGGTCAGAAAGTCGCCTGCTGCTACAAACTCCTCTGGGCAACGGTTATACGAGGGGGGGAGAACAGTAGAGACCGAGACAAACCAGGTGTGATCCGGCCGTGTTCTTTGAACTTGCTCTCCTTGAGAACCTGGGGCAAGCAGCGATGAGTGGATGATTGGGCAAGCGAAGGTGTCTTACGGGGCTCAGGTACTCCCGAACGGACCAGTATTGTTGCTGCGATGAAGGTAAGCGACGAGAAACGAAAGCCGATGAGGACCAGCCTGTATGGCGTGCATTGACGCTTAAAGTGCAAGAGGTACTCAGGAAGGAAGCCGGCCAAATCCGATCGATTCAATTTCCAATCAAGTTCCACGTGACTCCCATTTATCGCGTCGCGTCTGACTCTGTGTAGCTACCGCAACGCCTGAGACGCGTCTGAAGCCACGAGGGATGGGAGAGAGCAAGTTATCGGTCTCAAGGTTCTAGTTCTTCTCTCTCTTATTTTTTTTCGAACTCTGTCTATGTGGTTCCGGTTCCGAGGCAACCGAATTTGAAGGGACGAGTGAAGGAAGATGTTCTGCCCTTCCTCCAGTCAGAAAATCCCGCAAACTCTGTTAGAACTTTCTCCTTGGGAGTCCACACCCGTAGAACGATATTGATGTCGGATTATGTCGCGAACCATCGCATCCTATTTTCCCCGACAAGAGATTACACAGAATTTATTCTGGAGGCGAGGAAAGTTCTCCCCCAGTGTATCCTATTTTCTGTGAAGGTGGCTTCTCGCCAGTGGTCCAAGTCTTGCAATTCCTTTCAAACGGAATTGCTATTGTCACTTACATAACTATCCTGCTGACATCGGTCCGATGGTGTAGTTGGTTATCACTTCTGTCTAACAGCGAACGGAAATTTCGTAAGCTTTAACACAGGCGGTCCTCAGTTCGAACCTGGGTCGGATCACTTTTTGTCCGCTTCTTTTGCCCGTCCTCCTTTCTCTTGTTTTAACTCTAGTGATAACGAAAGTTTTATCCTCACACCGCCCTTGCTGGAAGAGCGTCAAGCTTCACATCGAGCCTTTTTCTTCAAACCAACCCGTCAAATTACATGGTGACCATCATTCACTTGCAACCAACCAGTTCCAACTTGGCTCCGACTGCGCATTTTCACGTAGGCCAAAGCTTCCCGCATGCGCATGGTCATTGATCTATGACTTCTACTGGCAACGGCTTGGATGTCGCTTATTCAGGGAATGAATTGTCTCCACCTGTACTCCACGCCTCTTGCAAAATCGCTCTCACAATCGGACTCCCATCCGTGTGCTCCCTTGACGACCAACTGCGGTCTCCTTGTTCTGAACTACAACTTCAACAATACCTTACGGCGCAGTCTCCCGGCGCCTATTCTAATTTTAAAAATGGTACCCCAAAACCTTACGCGAGAATCAACCGTACAACACTGTGCTCTGTTCTGTTGCACTCGATTGTTTCATGCTGTAACATGTTCCCACTGCTCCACAACCATTCCTCTTCAGCTCGCATTTTCTCCGTTCAATTTGGGACTGACTGACTGTCTTTGTGTTCGTGGACTAGGGACCTCGCTGCGCTTGGAAAATTATCACGAATCGCTTGCCAGACCCAAGGTTTATTTGATTTTTTCTCCCAGATCTTTCGGTTACTGGTCAGGGTCCCAGCGGCAGGCGCATCTCTTCATTGTGTAAGATGGAAGGGCTACCTCCATACATCGGCTACCTCCATACATCCACTTCGCAACCCACCCATAGAAAATGCATAAAAGGCGCTCCCTCCGAGAGACCCTCAGTATCAAACTCTTTTTTTTCACCCTTTCATACCAAACAAACATTCTCTTTCAAATGCGTTTCGCCGCCATCGCCACTGTTGTAGCGCTTTTTGCGACATTCGCCGCTGGCGCGAGCTTCCACGCCAGGACTCCGCAGAACTGCTTCCCCGACAGCTGTGTAAGTCGCTTTCGCTCCGCGCTGTGTCGTCGCGTTCTTAAATATATCTCCCTATCAGGTCTGTAACGAAGATGGCTGCACGGCCGGGCCCGTGTGCTGCGCAGTGAGTACCTGTGCAAATACACTATCATGTTTAGGCTAACCCACGCAGAACGGGAGCTGCCCCTGTTAAATCTGATTTTTGAGACGGAGATGAAAGGGCTGGCTTCTTACCCATCTCAACGTCTAAAATACTGTTTCAACAAGGGTCGACGAAATGTTAATGTAAAAGACCCCGTATGAAACGCACTGGGAGCGATTCGCGAACTCTGGGAAAGAGCTCCGTGTCAAATGCCTCTAATTGAGCTGTTGAGTTGGGTAGGACCCGGGAGGCGAGGGACGTGCCGACCTTGGTCCTTGTCTTCACCCCCAAGGATTGAGAAAGCTGTGAAACTTGGCAAAAGATTGGATTTGGATTTCTCGATGGGCTCTGCATTTGAAGCGTACACTACGTTTAAAAAAGCTATACGAGAGTATTACTACGTTTCTACTTACATATTGATCCTTCGGACAAGACGAGGGATGGGGGGCTCGACGGAAGTTTGTGATTTGTGACATCTGGTGACGACTTCGGCGGGTAGGGAGTGCGTTTCATGTGTGTATCGATTTGGCAGAGATGCATTGGAAAAGGCGTACGATTAGGCCAAGGGCGTTAAGGGTGGTGTTTGTTCCTGCGATGAACGCGGGGCGGCGTGGCTAGGCCCTGGCTGGTTCTGAGAAGGATTGCATGATGGATATGGTGCACAGGGCAGCAGCGTTGTGATGTAGAAGTCGTTGGGTTGAAACTCGGCGTGCGGTTATGTGACGACGAAGAGTGCGTGAAGCGCAAACCATGAAGAAGTGTTCCGGTCGAGATAAGAATAGCAATGACTTTGATTGCGGATTCGCGCGTTCGTAGTCCCCGCAACGGAGGGACGTGGAAGAGTGTGCATCAGCAATCGAGAAGAGTTATAGGGCCCCAGACGTTCGTGGCAAGTTGAGGAGGGTTGCAGAAGGAACGAGAGCGGGGTGTCGTTTATGAAGAGTTGCGACTTGTTAGAGGGAACATTGCAATTGAAATAATGGTATGGTGGTCGTGACGCCGTGTAGGGTGTACGATGGTGTGAAGCCGGCAAGTCCTAAAAACAATGGCCCACGAAATGCTGTGAAATTTTCTCGTCAGAAAAATTGGAGAGGATTCAGGACGTGGAAAGCCACATACCCAAACGAGCAAGCAAGAAGGGAGTGAATGAATCCGGATGTGTGTAGGAACGAGATCACGTCGTTTATCAGGAGTTGCGGCTTGTGAGAGGGATTGCGGCAAGTGGTAACGTGGCCGAGGTCTTATGTATGCCGCACAAGTGAAGTGCTGGTGACGTTCGCGAGGTCGTGTGTATGCCGCAAGCTCAAAGAAAATGCTGCAAATTTAAAAGTCAGAAAGGGAATGATAAAGGATACCCAGAAGCCACATACCGAAACCAGTAAAGCACATGAATTCCGATGTGAGTGCCCAGATGTTGTCCCTTGATGCCGCCAGGTGTGAAAACCCGCCCGTCCCCGTATCCTACATACGTAATCTATCTACGAAGAGACACCGAAACCGAAACCGAAACCGAAACTGAGACCAAGACCGAGACCGAGACCGAGACCGAGACCGTGACTGAAGGCGCACTGAATAGACTAAAAGCCAAGAGCACGAGAAATCTTGACGCAAAGCGGGATGAAACTGATGATGGTGGTTGAGGGTGTTGACAAACACAGGCGCGCGCCGTTGGAGAGACGTTGGAGAATGGGCCGGTTTGTCGTGATGCAGAGTGAAAATATTTGGCGGGATGCAAAAAGTCGAGGGATGTTACTGCGCCGCGGTGAGGAGATTCCGCGCGCGCGATGATGATGTGTAGGATAAACCCGAATTCTTGATTTGAGGGTAGAGCTTCGACGGCGGGGGGTGAGATATGCACCGACTGTTCGGATGGTGATGAATTAGAGTATTTGTGACCACCGCCGTCGGAGATTGATACAACCGCCTCGTCTTGAGGTTGTGTCGTGTCATTGCCGTGGTATGTATTGGCAGTGAAAGCTGCGGAGCGCCCAACGATGAAGATACGTGTTTCGAAATTATTTTGGTGCTGGTGGCGTTGGGCGGACTCTGATCATGGCTGTGAGGCAAGATACTGACGGACAAGTTAGAACATGAACTACCAGAGAATAGAAGACCCTACCGAGGATGACGAGGCGGGGAGCTATATGATGGCAACCCAGCCCTGTCCCTCCGCACCAATCCACCACGATTTCCATTCTATCCGGACCATCCAGCTATCCTTCCACCGGCGGTAATGTGTGCGTAATGTAAGGTGGCCACCTTTCAGCTAACCTAAACAGAAGGGAAAGGGGGGAAAATGAGTTTGGTTAGTAAGGCGTCCCCGCCCGCTCCAGGCCTCCCCCAGGCGGGCCACGCCGGTGCTGGCGCGGCCCTACTCATTTGCACGCATTGAGCCTCCCTCCACCTCTGCACGGCTTACGCTGAGCTCCCCTCCTGCCGAAACCGTGTGTAAGTAGGGAAGTATATAGTTGAGGAAGAAGGACGTACAGCGCGCTAGACTCCCTGACGGTGCACCGGCAGTGCACTACCCTGCATCAAACAGAGGGTTAGTATGATGGGGATGAACGAGAGGGCTGACTTACGGCCACAGACTCCCTTCGGTCGCGACTAGAGAAAGCTGAAAGTGAGTAAATGCAAACAAGGAGGGGTGAGAGGCATACACGACACTCTAACATCCCCGCTGAGCCAAGTCAGGGGGATTGTCGTCCAGCCGAGGAGGGAATGTCCTAAGGGCGGGGAGTCTCCATGAGGCAGATTAGACCACCTGAATCTGCCTCAAGAAGACGTGGTTAGTGAGGGGACACATGTAGAAGTATTGGCACGTAGCGGTCTGAAGGGCCTGGGACTTGGGGTTTCGTCGATGCTGGCTGTCGCTGAGCTTGAGATGTCGATGAAGGCTTGGTCGAAATCGGAGGGGAAGAATGAGGGGGGAGAGGGCCAGATGGAGGGAGGAAGCAAGAGTGAGGAAAGCGGCTGACATTGGGCTGACAGTTTCCGCGGAAGCATCAGCAAATTCAGGCTCCGCTTGAAAGACATGTAACGGGGCTCACGTTACCGCGAACAACCACAGCCCAAACAGCCCAATTGAACACCTCAGGTTAACAGTTTCAAATGCAATTGCGGCCGGTTAATACGCTACATTTACGCGTTTGTTCTCAAACTCATCCCAACGAGCGAGGGCATCCACCACAAAATGGGCAAGATCCTTCCTCGATATAGTGTATCCGCCCAACTCCCCCTCCCCAACGCGATAACTTTTGCCTTTCCCTTCATCTGCTACACATTTGCCGTCAGTTAAGAGCGCAGGCCGGACGACAAGAACGTGTTTGAGTGTTCCCGGAGCAGGTAGGCCCTTCCTTTGCGTCCATCTCTCGCCTACGATGTCCGCGGCCGGCTCCCCGTCGATCTCGGAGTTCCATGGTAGCCCAGCACAGTGTGCTATAACACGTTCCATGCCGACTTTGTCTCTGTGAGGGGCTGCGAGCATCAAATACAACGGCTTGAGCAGGAGCGGAAGGGCCGCATGAGCCGAGGGCGTAAGGCCGGTCGACGAGATCACGATGAATTTTGGCTGCGGGGCGGCCGCGTAGGTGGGCATGGTGCACAGAACGTTCATTATGCATTGAGTGACGAGGTTATGAGGGTTCATCACAACTCCTTTGATGATGTGGAAAGATGGGATTCCACCTACGCGTCGGGTTAGTGTTTGCTGCAGCAATCGATTTAGAGCGACATTACCGACGGAAAATATAACCGCATCTACTAATCCTGCTTCAGTCCATGCGCGTCGGGTGTCTGCCTCATTTGTAGCATCCCCTTTCAGGAGGCGCGCATTTCCAGTCTTCACGTATCCCTGGAGGACGG